CGTTCCATAGCCAGGCCTGAAACCTGACTGATAAGGGTCCAGATAATCCGTTTCCTCCAGGGCCCTTTGGAGCTGTGATGCCGCCACTTTCTCAACCATCTTCCCCAAAAAGGGGAGGTGGGAGACTGGACGAAAGTTGTCCAGTACAGTAGGATCCAGGGAGGGCTGGATCAATTGCAGATTTTCTTTGGTGGCAAGATTGTTTCAAAAGCAACTTTCACTTTTCTGCAGATAAAAAAAAAGACATTGGGAGTCTGCTTTTCACCCTGCTTGGCCGGTAACTAACATGAGCAGTTTGGCTAACAAGAGAGACCTTCCTGACTGATCCCTGGTGAAAGTAAGGTTCTCCTTTGTCTGCAACAAAGATAGCTTTGAGCTGCCCCTGATAGTCACTGGGTGCTAGGCCTACCCAGCCAAGACTGCAGCATTTTTGTTGAAGTCAGATGAAAATCTTCACAGTCTCCATATCTGCAGCACATTTTCCATGAAAGGCAAAATCAAGTGGTAAAAAACTCGATCTGTCCCACTTTTGGGGAGCAATTTGCCTGCAGCAGGCTGAGCTGACAAGCACCAGTGTCAGATTAGTAGTGAGGGGATGATTCCTCCTTCCCTCCCTCCCTCCCTCCCTTCTAAAATTCATTTTGGAGAGAATGAACAAAATAAGAGAGCTGGATCAATTGCTTCCAAGACTTTCCATAACCTTGTGCACGTATAAGGAAATGGATTAAGATATCACTGGTCACTGCAAAAGCAGAATAAGCATAGTTTAGCCTTCCTCAGTCTAGATGGCTTGGACTTCCAGTGCCATAATTCTCAGTCACGGTAGGTTTCTAACACATCTGGAGGGCACCAGGTTGGCAAAGGTGAAGAGGAAAGGAAAAGCGGCAGCAGAGGTCTGTGCTGATAGTTGGGTGGCTTCAGACCACCTTCTGCATCCTAGGTTGACATTCTTCATTGGTTTTCAGTAAGGGAAATGTCAGAGAAGGAGGTAAAATGTAAGGAGAGGATACCTCTCACATTATATGAGAATTCAATTTCTAGTTGTTCTTAGAAGACCCCGTTTTAACTCTACGAATAATTGGAATTAATCTGCCCCATGCCCACTTCTCTGCAGCACTTGAAAACAGCTAGTCAACCATGACTGATCCGAAACCAAAGAATTTATCAAGGTTGGATCCAGTTAGTACTTGGATGGAAGATGAGTAAGAAATTAGGGCTGTAGCTGTAGATTAACTGGGAAGTAGGGAAAAAAAAAACTTCTGCAAGAAAGCAGTGTCAAACCACTGCCATATTGTTGTCAAGAAAACAACATGAACAAGTCCAGGGAGTCTTTACTTTTATAGTGGCCACTTGCAGGTCTGATTTTTAGTTGCTGATGGAACAATAGCTCCATCTGATGGAAAGTCAAGGTAGGTGCCTGCCAGTGAATCAGTAGCCTTGGAAAATATGAGTCCACAGCTATAGTCTATAGTCTATTATCTTTTCTCTTTCCTTTTTCGGTGATGATAGAGGCCCCTTTGCTGCTCTGTATGTATGACCTGTCAGGACTTGCTTCCTTTTTTTCTCCAGATGTTGAACAAATTCTTGAATTTATATTAGTGCATTTTCATTTTGAAAAATTACCCTGAGTGTGCGGACACTTAAAACCTGCACTTTAGGTTGATGTCAGGGAGTTTATGTGGAAGTTTGTTGCACAGAAAAGATAACAAAATGTCTATTAATGAGATGACTGAAAAAAATAATAAGCATACTTGGCACTGAATAATCATTCTGATTATCCAATGTGTGCATGTTTTCAGAAAAGCAGGAATTATAAGGGAAAAGTAACAAACTGGTTGTGTGATAGTGTTCCAAATAAACGTTAGATAATCACGCTGGGTAATATCAAGCATCAACTGGGTGGGTTGTTGTTTGCCTAATGGGGCTTCCCAGCCTACTGCTTTCCCTTGAACTTTCCATTAATCTCTAAATTTGCTCTGGGTGGTCATCCGATCTCAGATTCTGAGTGTGCAGGAAGCACGTAAGTAAGAGAGTAAATTCATTATGTCAGCAGTGTTCTTTCTACTCGTGGACACAGACAACTGAATTTTACCCAGAGAAGGTAATTCATATTTTACTAACTTATTTTTACTTATTATTGGGAGCTGCGACACATTAGGAGACAGCAAGCAATCTACTCCAAGAATACTGGTCTACTGACAGTACTATAATAAATAAATGTAAATGCAGCATTTTGTGGATTTAAGATAAAGATTGCAGGTTTGTTACTGCTATTTGCGATGATGATGATTCCATACGTTAAACACTTTGACAGGTATTCCCAGCATGTTCCACTGGGAGAAGTAAGAATAACCTTGGATACACTAAACAGTTCTGAAAGCATGGAATCCTGGGAAGAATTACAGAAAGCAACCAATTTAACCAAGGATTTTCTGGGTCTCAAAATTTTGTGTGAAAAATATATCATTTATTCCAGATCATAGAGTTGGAGAGTTCTTGCTATCACTAAGACTGGATCCATGTATTGCTAACTTTTGGATCATCACACAAGATCCAGTTAAAGATCTAAGGCACAGGGGCCTCAGAGATCCGCAAAGCCTTCCAAAGCCAGGGGTTTGGTTCCAGGGTCTCTCCAATAACTTGGACCAAAGGATAGTTTTCCATGTGACTGAAGGGGAATGTTATTAAACATTATGCAATACATGGGATCTAGTTTTGTTAAGGAAATGTAAATTAAATCAGATTTAGTTTTTGCCTGGCCTTGTCCATTTTGTCCTTGCTCTGTATTTTGGAGTTTGACCATCAACCAGCACTTACCAGCCAAAATTATCTTTAGCTCAAAAAATGTTCTGCAGCCCTGATTCACGGGTTTTTCTCCTTGTGTTAAATTCTGACTTAAAGCCCCCACTGAGGAAAATCTCAGATCCCAAACTGGAAATTTGTTCGTCTTTTCCTCCTCTCAAACCTCCACAACTATCAACAAATCATATTTATTTAAGTTAGCCATTAACCATGCTTCCAGAGGAGATTAGGAAGAAAGACATCACAAAGTCCAAAATTTCTAATCTCCTCTCAGAGTTCAGATGTGCTAATGGGCTCTGGACTTGGAGGATACAATAATTGAACAGAGGTCCCCTGCATATTTCATAGAAATTCAAAGTTTAATTAAGGTGCTGGCCTAGAAACCAGGAAACAGGGAGTTCTAGGCCTCCCTTAGGCTTAGGCGCCAGCAGGGTGACTTTGGGCCAGTCGCGCTCTCTCAGCCCAACCCACCTCAACCCCACTGTTGTTGTGGGGAATGTAGGAGGCAGGAGTATTAGGTATGTTCGACACCTTGCTCTCTATATTAAAAAGGCAGGAAATAATAATAGCAGCAGCAGCAGCAGCTTGCAAGCAAGAACTGGTGGGACCACAAAACAGACAAAGTAATAGAAAATGAAGAAGCTCAAGTGCTCTGGGACTTTAGAATTAAACAGACAAGCACCTGCCATCCAACACCCCAGACTTAACAATTGTTGATAACAAAGACAAAAAAGTCTGGATAGTGGATATTGCAATACCTGGAGACAGCAGATTAGAACAGAAAGAATTGGAGAAAATCACAAAATACAAAGACCTGCAAATAGGTGTAGAATGACTGTGGCAAAAGAAAGCAAAGATAGTACCAATAGTAATAGGCACCTTGGGTGCAATCCCAAAACATCTGGAGCACCACTTGAACACCATCAGCGTTGTCAAAATCACCATCAGTCAATTGCAAAAGGCAGCTTTATTTGGAAACAGCCTACATCCTGCAATGATACCTTTCACACCATCAAACAACAACATCTGCCTATCCCAGGTCCTTGGGAAGGACTCAAGTGGATAAAAATGTGAAATCCAGTCTAAACATCTAGCTGACTGTGCAACCAACAACAGCAGCAACAACAACAACACCCTGTTCCAACAGGGACAGAAGTAAATAGGATGCATTGCAAAGTACTAGTTTACCTACCCCCGCCCCCCAGTTATTCCAGCCGTTAAAGATGAAGACATTGGCATTTGGGACTTCAGCCAATAAGGATTACTGATTATGATCCCTACATATTCTACATACAGAATATGATGCTCCCATTAAGTTGAAGTGGGGGCTGAAGCTTCCAAAGTTGTCGTGGCCAGGGTCCACCCCTTTGCTGAGCAGCAGACGCCCTTAAAAGGCAGGTCTTTGCTTGGGGCCCGTCGTTCTTGTTCCCTGACAATTCCCCTCCAGTCACTCTGCTTGCACTGTAGGTCAACAGAGGAATGCAGGTCTCTGGTGGGAAATTATTATTTCCTCGCAGGTGTAGACTTCTGAAGCTAAATTGGGAGGCTCTGGGTCAAGGGCTCCCAGTCCTGTGGTCCATGCTGGGCACTTGGATTATTTTCTAGGACTTCTGCTTCCTGCACTTTGAAGCAGCTGCCTGTGTCTCAGGTGGGAGCCCAGGTGACTTCTCACAGTAGGAGTTTCCACTATACTTCTTGCAAACAGAATTAGTTAATCTCCACAAGTATTTCCATCACTGTTTTGTTTATTCAATTTCTATTCAGTTGAACATTCAAGGTAACTAACACTGTATTTTAAAAAAACAGATACAAGATAAAGCAAAAGACAAAAACAGCCACCAGCAGCTTGTTAGCCAGGCCTTACTGGGGAAATCCGGACCTGGCAATATGAATGATCACTGGGATTGTGTGATGCAGTCTGTCCAACGGCCTGTTTCTAAGTGGCACTCACGGTTCGTTTAGATGAAAGGCTTAGTTGCAATGGGCATCTAGTTCAGCTTTTCCGCCTGAATTAGGAGTGGCTGCAGCATTCCGAACAATCCTTGTCAAATGGAGTTGTGTAATGGAAATGCTTGAACAGTGATATACTTTTTATGTCACCGAAAGCCTCCGATTTGCTTTCTTCATCCCTGCAGGAATTTCTATCGAAGAAAAGCATGCTTTGATTCAAACTGGGCACCGTCTTACTTTGTGCTGTGGTAGTATTTAGCGACTGTGGCTGAATGCTGGAGCCACATTCACAGTGAACTATCTGTTTCCATTTGATTGTGGAAGGGCAATTTCTCAACAGTACAAAAGAGCAATTGTATGGAAAGGATCTATGAAAGGCATTCAAGCTAAAAATAAACATGTTGTATTTGAATTCGGACTTCAGTGACCCTGAATTGCTAGGCTAAAGATGGAAGCAGAGGTTATATAAATAAGAGGAAGGCAGGGCAAGCAATGAACCAGGTGTACTCTGTGTTTTTTTCCCTGCTGCCAGAGGCAAGGCTAAAATGGTTGATGGCCAAATAACAAGGAAGTGCTGGGTGTCCTCTTCTCTCCTTATAGTGAACCTCAAGCCAGTACTCTGGCAAGAGTGTTTTTTTTTTTTAATGATACCTGTTCAGTCAGATGGAAAATAAACTGCTTTTAATTTTAAAAAAATTAAGAACATTCTTATGGATGGAGTGTGGAGTATTTGCATTTATCTTACTTCCAAGGTTGTAGAAAGGGGTGTGCGTGTATGTATGTCTGCCTTTCACTGCTCAACAATCTCTACAGCATCTGCAGTTTCTCAGTCTTACCAGATTTCAATTAAACCTTGTGTGAAGTCATCATGAAGAAACATCTTCTCTGGCATATTTTCAGATTGGGGAGCAGAGCCAACAGGAAGGCTTTTGAGCAATGCAGCGTGTTGGAACAGAAAACAAAAGCAACAGCATTCTCTGCCCGCTCACGTCACTAAGGAAAAATGCACAAAAGGAAATGTGAAAAGAATTTTAAAATTCTAAAGCTTGCTGGGAATGAGGTAGAAAAACAGAAGCCTTGTGCATAGGAAAACATTTTCAGGAACTGATAGACTTCAGTAAGTCCAAACCATATAAATTAATGTTAATATGACATTAATTCATTAATGAGTTAATATGATCCAAGTTGAATCACCAGCATCAGGGAATTACAACCAATTATAACCATTCCTTATTAAATATTCTCTCGGTTCAATATATTCAAAGCAATGTATCTTTTCTATCAACCCATTTTATGATGATAGGAAACTAATCTAAGATATATTTTTTTAAAAAAATCCTTCCACTGATTTACTAGGACATGACATTTAAGTTCATTATTCCAGAGGTCATGTAAATAAATAATAATGATTTAATTGACTTTGTAGACATAGTGAAAGGAGAGCCATGTTCATCTACGATAGCTAAAACAAAAGTCTGGTAGCACTTTCTCAGACTAACGAATTTCATTAAAAGTAATAAACTTTTGTGAGCTACAGGTCACGTCATCAATTGCAAGAGAGCAGCTAGACTGATACAGGATTTAAATTGGGATGATTCGAGGGGAAGGGGAAGGAAAAGGAAGACAAGGTGGATAGACAGATGCAGATTACATCTGAGACAGATTACTAGTACCTTATCAGTTATAAATGGTCTTCCTGCACCAGGTATGCAAGAGTTCGAACTAGTACAGTCCAACATGCAACCCTTTGGAAGTCCACATAACTAACTATGGTTCAGCTGTCCTATTTACTATGAGCAGAGTTGTTTTCTTCCCACCTCTTTCAATAAATCAATATCTCCATTTAGTTCCTGTTTTGCTTATGGGAGAATGTTTTAGGATGCTTTTTAAAAGACATTTTTATAGCTTCTTCTATAATTCTTCAAATTTCACCCGCCACCATCCTGATGTCCAGAAGTTAAATCACTGTGAGAAGACACAACTGCTCCGGATCTACCAAAGCAGTTAATACCATTTCTACTTGGGGGGGGGAGGTGGTATCTTCAATGAGGTGACCCACAGGGGAGGTAGGAACCATGGCTTCTTTGTTAAAAAAAGTTGGACTCTGTGTCCTGAATTCCCCCACCACCCTGCCTGAGATTTTATGGGTGAGGTTGGTTTTCAGGCAAGTATAATGGGGTGGGGTGTACCTCATGGGCATTCTCTGAGTTCCTGGTTCTGTTGACAGCATGAGCTGCATGAACTATGAAGCAAGTTTTCATAATGAAGCAACTCTCCTGACTGATTCACACATACCTGAGATGCAATTGTCCAGCAGCAGCTTCACATGGTATTTCAGTCAAATGGTTCTTCAATGACATGAGTGAAAATATAATCACATTTTTGCAAACCCATGAGAATATAAGGTAGAAATACTTTCAAAAGAGAGAGTACTTTCGAATAGGCCTGTGTAGCAGGGGATGGGTTGATCGCCCCTTATAAGCTAGCCTTATCCAGTTTCCAGAAGGGAAAAATAGTGGGTGGACTTTTCTACAGCTTCAGTGCACTTCATGATTTCTTTTCTACCAGGGATGACGGGGAAGACATGCAGTGTCACTTATTATAGCTAAACTGACTAGGGCAACAGATTGTTGTTATTGTTCTTCCACATCAGCCCTGGTTTCTGGTGACTATATAGACAAGTCCCTGCATTTTCGGAAGGGGTTTGCCAGTTCCTTCTTCCTAAAGCTGAGAGAGTGTGACTGGACCAAACTCAAGGGTCTCCACTCCAAGCCCTATGCCTTCATCATGACACCAGTATGGTTCTCTCGAATGATCTGGTTACAGAACTTACATCCAGATACATTTTGTCTCCTTCCCATTATTGCTTCTGCCCAGTCAAGCTCCATTTCAGGGTTAATTTTAAGGAGTTCCCACTTTCAGTTATTCCTAACATTAATGGAAACAGGGCTTTTGGTATCAGCAGGGTAGCTGCTTTGCAGGCACTCTGTTTTGGGTAATGGAGTAGAAGAACCTGACAGTAATCTTTCCAATGAGTCTGGCAAGCTTTATGAAATTTACTCAGTGCAGTATTTATAGCTTGTGCTTGGCCACTTGGAGATAATCTTTTCAGCTTCTGGGGGAATGTAAACTTTGCGTAGCCTACCCAGTCCCTGGTCACATGCCCTGCATTACCGTTCTTCCCCAAGCCTTTGTGCCTCACACACCCTTGTGACCCGGGGGGAGGGGGGATCTACAGCTTGGACACGAGGAGGCATGGATGCCTCACTCTCCTGCTCTTCACTGTGCTGAAAGCCAACATGAACCCACTGCTCTCAGTTCATAGATTTCAACTTGAGTGCAGCTATTTTAGTTGCACCCCTTCTCTAGAGCAGTCATCCCTGGAGGACTGCCATCCATACAGTAAGAATCCTGGGATGACCTGATGCCCGAAGCTCAAGGCCTGTTTTCAGTTCTGTGGGCTTTTTCCTAGCTTCTTGTAGATTTTTTATCAGAGGCCCAGAAACAGTCTTTCATCGCTCCAGTAACCAACTTCTTGCTTGTCTCTTTCCTCCCAAAAACTGTTCCAAGAGAACAAAAGCTTTTTCCTTAGAGAGGGAAGAGTTGTGTGGCCTCCTTTGGCTACATGCTACAGTAAATTGCTCTCTTCAGGAAGATCTTGCTTAAGAGGGATGGATGTAAACTCTCTGTCTGGGGAGCAGCTGTCAATCTGCAGTGCTAAATGCAAAGTAACTGGTTGCTTCTTCCCTGTCTAAGTAGGCTTCACGTCAAGATCCCCAAGTCCCCATTTTGAGCTCCTTATAGGCCCAGTGGAGGGAAATTGCAAAAAGGAGCTGACCCCTAACTTCGGTGCAAAGAGTGCAGGACATACATGAAATCCTGTTGTTAATGTCTCCTTTATTGCAATAGGATTGCAAGAACAAAGCAGGATGCTGACATTTAGTTAACAGCATTAGGGAGAAGCCAGATAACCTGGATGCAGAGAGGTGTCAAGCAGGGGACATACTGCCAGTCAAAATTGTCAGTCTGCTTTTAGTACAGATTCTGGTTTCCTACCCCTTTGGCCTGCATTGTGCTGCAGCTTGCCACGTCCAAAGACGGAATGGACTAGAAAAATATCCTAACAGGATTTCTGTATAAAGGCTTTCCTTAGTTCCAGTCTGGCTTGCTGGGCAAGTTCCAGCACAGATCTCTCTGACTGGAAGCAGCAGGGAGAGACAAGAAATAGTTACCCACTGTGTGTGTGTGTGTGTGTGTGTGTGTGCATACGTAGCTACATATGTTTAATCACACCTCCTGCATCCTGATCCGTCCCCCTTTCTGCTCATTCCCACGCTCCTTGTGCTGTTCCATCCTGAAACTTTGCTATGGCAGCAATACAATGGGAATGGATGGCATTTTAAATAGTAGGGCTGGTAATGCGCTACGGCCTTCGAGCCAGGCTGCGCTGTCACTGGGCCTGTTGACAAAACAGTTGGCATTGTAGCAGGGAAGGACCGTAGCCTGAGGAATTTGCCAAGAGCTGCTCCCCCCCCCCCAATTTTATGGCTCTTTCATTTGTGAACTTGAAACCACTGCTTCAGAGAGAAGCCACAAATAGGCAAGATCTCCAAACCGAAGGGTGGGAAGGGGGAAATCCTGCCTCCAGCTTTAGAAGAGAAATGAAATGTACAGAAACCCAGTTACATCAGGTTCATTAGAGGTGGGAAAAATAGCGATGCTGGCTACCAGCCATGTTTTCTGGTTTAAAATGGGTGCCACAGTCTGTAGAGGCTTTAGGTGATAGTTACTCGTAGTGGAGTCCACTGGATTTTCTTTTTTTAAATGCATTTATATTGATAGGGTTACGTGTCAGTTATGACAGCATCTGGACTCTTTGCTTTCATTGATAAAGGTCTTTCCAGCTGCAGGAGAATTTGTGGTGGGCTGGAAGGTGTGTGGTTGGACGGGTGGGTAAAGCTAGCAAAGAATTATGAAATGTAACACCCCCCCCCGCCCCCCCAGTTCTGATG